CTACTGACTACTGTGCTAGCCAAGTAAACATTCTAAACGCATGTGTCACTCACCTCTGATCTACTCTTTAATGTACTTCTCTTTGGGCGAAACAGAACATCCTTAAAATCTAGCTTGATATCGTTGTCTATTCGTGGCATGTTTATATCCTCTGTTAGGGTATGTACTAAGATAGCCGGGATTGTCGTTACAGACTAGTGGTGGTAGGCCTAGTGAATGTTTTGGGAAACCGCCAGCGCGCTAGACTGGTACTCGCTCCCACCTCGATTACTCCATCGAGTAACTTAACCGAGAGGTGGGAGCGAGTACCAGTCTACTAACGCGCGAATGAGGTCGATACTAACGACATCCAGCGGGGAATAAAAAAACATTCTGTGTTGACCGAGGCTGGCGCGAGCGGCGTGTGCGTGTTTGAGTTTGTAATACTTTTTTATTATTATATGTTCTCTGTACACTCAGGCCTCAGTTATTGTCGTGGTTACGTTCCCGCAAAACACAACGTTGACGGAATCAATGTTCCGTATAGGAACATAATAACGTACACTATTTTAGTCACGTTCCCCGGCAAATCCTCAGGGGCCGGATTCATCAACGTTGCGTAAAGTCTATTGCGTACACGGAGTTTCTACGAAGTACNTTTATTATTGCGGGTTTATTGAAATAGGCATGCTGGCCAAGAGGGAGAGAGGTGCTGCACTAAGACCCAACACAACAGAAGGATCGTGCACACGCTTGTAGATGGGAGCGGCACCTGAGGTATAGCCACACACTTCCCGAAAGCGCAGAAGGAGATGGGTAGCGAAGGCTGTGTATGCCTGACGGCAGACCAGCACTACGTTCCAACGCGTTCGATTCCTGGCAGAGTCATAGTGACACTCAGAGATAAATGGGTCGCAGTAAGTGTTTTTCCATGGTGTTGGTGTTCTGGCAATTAGCCTAGCCTTGTGTGCCACAAGTATAAATAAGCGAAAATGATACAACAAAACTGTACATATCGGTAATCATCAATCTCATCATTTGATAGATAATCTGTTAAGCTGAGTGAGAGAATCTGATTATCATTGGACATGCTGGGCTGGCTAAGTATTGTTTGTATAGCGAATAGAGGCCAAATTATAGGCAAATACAATGTCAATGATAGCCAATGACAGGGCTGAAACTAACCTAAAATGTTCACAGACTTAGGCCAGCAGGCGCACTGCCTTGGGTAATCTTACTGCCCTTAAAAATATATCTCGTCCAGCCCCATTACTTTTCTGAGCTGCCGCGCTGGAGGCTACGCAGTGAGTAAAATTTTGCCATTGTTCGGGGGAATCAGTCGAGTGGGCTGGATCTGGGTTTTTGATCTTAGACGTCCGAGAATGCATTCTGCGAAAATTTCCTTGACTGAAACTCTTAATCAGATATATTCCAGGTATAGTATATATAATATATATATTATAATATAACATAATATTATATTATATATATCAAAGAGCTAATAAATACCTAGAACGCCTAGAAAGTGTGACAAGCGGGAGAAGATAGTGGCATTGTCAACGCAATATTACTCTCTACTATTGTATGCTGGTTTCTAGACTAAGCACTCTCATGGTATTGGCGTAGAGGCAGCATCCTTTGCTCTCTAAAATAAGACGCAAGCCGGACGTTGTCCTCTAGCGCTACGATTGATCCTAGGCGAGATAGTTGGAGCGTAATCATGCCTCCCACAGGCCTCAGTAGAATAATATGCCGTGAAATAGCACTATTTCCCAGTTTTTCCAATTGTAAACGTACTCTGAGGTGTAATTTGCTCTTATATATAACCCCAGTGGCTCAATTTGTTAAAGGTTTTTTGTGGTTGTCCCGCTAGGACAACAAGAAGAGTCAGCATATGGTTGGCATGTCGCCTCAAAGGGGTTTTGGTTGTCCGGATATTATTAAATCATGTGCCTGCATGCGCTCTGCTCACAGTCATGGCTCAGTGCTGTAAAGCAAAAGGCCTAATCATTACATTTTTGTACGTAATTGCAGTTGACAGCAGACATGGCCATTCGCCATTGTTTCACTCATTATATTCAAAAGACGCAATAGAAGGTTTTCTTATATCTAGATAAAGATAAAGAAGGTCCTTCTTATCTGTTCTTGATGGTATATGAAATAATAAAAAATATTGGTAATTGGTAAATGATGCGGGATCAATGACGTATAATAATAGTAAATATAAAAGTTGCATGAAATTCTATTTCATAAACACTTACATTAAGTAACGAGCTTACGTAATGTGTATAATAGCTACTAAATAATTACTACTAACATTACTAACATATACCTAAACTGTTGTCAAGTCACAGATATGAGTAAAAAATTGAAATTGACACGAAACATTGGTTAAAAAACATCTGTGTTAAGATAACGAAACATTGTGTTTGTTAAACCACGTGAATTATACTTTTGTATCAAAGGAAGACCAGACAATGCGCTAGACATGTACGTTTGCAAGGCGTTTGTGCAAACCCTGGCCGAATGTAAAATGACCGCAGCGCCATTATGAAATATAAAAAATTCTGACTCGCCAACAGGGCTGGTCAGACCAGAACATCTACTAGCCCACTACTGATTTCTACTAGCCTCGGGCGAGCGGCGAAGCGTTTAGTTTCAAGCCCTGAATTGATATTATCATATAAAAAGTTACAGTTATTAATGCATGGATTTTGATTCTATACATTATGTTGCTTGCCTGTATCAGAACTTTCTGTTCTGTCCTGGTAGGTGTAGCTGACCGACCAAGGTAACCGAACTGGCCGCAGCAAACATGCAAGTATTCCACGCGCTCCAAAAGCCCGATGGTCATCGGCATGCCACAGTCGCGTTTTCAAGTGAGAGACAAGAAATCATAACATTGACCTAGACGTGTTATGTTAGCTGTGACTGAGCAGATAATTGATTCGTGGTAAAAATAAAAAACAAGTGCCGCGCAGCGAGCAGCGCCTTCATCTAACGTCTAGCTGCGGTGACTCCTGTGGTGGAGTGGTGGGATTCTATGTAAACCTGTTATACCAAAATGTGTTCACAGATACACGCCGAGAACAGTGGAATCACAAGGGATTGGTATTCAGGAACCTTCTCAAAGAAGTTCGTCTTGGGATCTGTTATGAAAGTTGCCAACGAGATGGCGCGTACGTATTAAGTGTCTTCAAGATTAAAGATGGAAGCCTCGCCATTGTTAACGTAAGTATGCAACACTAATTGCAAGACAGAATAGGTAAGGACTCATACTCATTTACTACACAAGCCTACAGCGGCTGCAATAGAAGCAGCCTGCCAACCTGTACCAATATAACGCAGGGCAAACTACAACAGTACCGACGACACATGCATGGGCAGTGGCAATACGTTTAGCATGTATAACATTACTGACAGGTACAAATGCGCATAGAAATTCAATAGGCGATTTAGAGAAGCAATAAACCTTCTTCCAACCAAAATTTCAATGGTGACAATTGTATGCCTCATACATCGAGGCATGTATAGATTCTACTAGCAAACCCGCAGTCAAAATTCGTTTCTAACAGAGTCAACATAATCCATGTTTAACCATCTACCTCCTCTTTGAGGTCAAAAAGGTTATCCGACACTGTACTGCTTCGCGATGTCAAGGAAGACGGTAGCATTTCCATTGGTCAATTTCGAATAAAGGCCATAATAGTGCTAGGTCACGCGCTGAAACAAAAAGTTTTTCAAGTCGCTCCGTCAGACGAATGTCCCTCAAGAAAATGTCTTAAAATCTGCCGCTGTCTTATTGACCTTTGACGACCTGTGACCTCAATTTCGGCACAGTGATGGCTTTTCCTACCATGATCTACTAAACGACGACTATCACGAGCCTAGGTCGAGCCGTTTTAGATTTGTGCCGCAATTATGCATTTCCTCACTATATTGCCTTAAAGTTAAGGAGTGAATGTTCCCCCTTTTACAACTCTTGACCTTGTGACATTGTGACGCCCCAGTCTTCGACATCAGCCACTCGTTTTGACGAATGCCGACCCCTGATGTGCCGAATATCGTGGACCCGTCACGTATTTGTGCCACGAAACGTGTTTACGGAAGGACGGACGGACGGACAATCATCGCGATTACTACGCAAGCTGGCATCTGACTAGTCAGATGAGCTAAAAATTAATTATTATTAATGAAAATCGTAAAACTCGTCAACCTATAATGAAATGCAAAGTGTCAATGACACTATAGTCAATAGTGTTCATTCGACACTTTCATTGTTCGATTATAATTTGAAGAGTTCTTACTATTTATTTAATGTATAAATTTAATTCTTGGACGATGGGTCAAAGGAGCTAACTAGGACTGTCCAAGGGTTAGAGACTGAAGACCCCACCCCCCTGCAACAACACACTGTGGCGACACTCGGAGCAAGACCGGCCAATGCATTCGTCTGTCTCAGACTCGCTTGCATCCGCGAGTTATGCGCGACATAGTTGGCCACTCTCCTTCAGGATAGGCTTCGTCTTACTATTGAGTATTAACACAAGCCGGGATAACTCTTCCTGACTCCTTTGCAAGCCCGTTTGTGTTACCCAGTAGTAATACTTGGCGTAAGCAAAGCCAGCCGCAATATCCTGCAATGTAAATAAATCCAAGATTAGTTTTTTACACTGTCTGATAATGATGAGTTTTCCCCACCTGAATCTTGAACACTGTTAACATCTATTTGTCTAATTACATGTTTTAAGGACGATCAATCGCAAGCTGTGAAATTGGTATCAGGTAAAAAGTAGATCCATCTGAAATGTGTCAGAAATACAATTGCATGAATGATTGTTTATTTCTTAATCGAGCGCATGAAACATGTATCCTAAATTATTCCATTAAAGTTTCAACACACTATAAATGTATAGAAAATTGTTTGTTGACATGAACATTAGATCAGCAGCCACCTTATTAGATGGCACAATTTCTCATGCTTGCGATGGGTGACATCAAATATACTGAGTGCTGCATAAGTTATTGAGACTGTTATAATGTATAATAAGTAATAAATGCCCTTTACAACAATGTACCGAGGGCAGACCCATATACATAATTTGTCTTACTGAATTATTTGCGCTTGCTCTCTGCACATGGCCCTTCAATGCTCCGCCAG